GGTTTTTGATATGATACTATTAAGTATAAAGCTAATATAGCTCCTAATGTCACCAGAGCTGTTCCCCAACTAATGACAAACATCAATAGTACACATAACATTGAACCACCTAAACTTAACCACATATTATACAACTGAAATTAAAAAAAAATATATATATTTAATTAATTAAGATAAATATTTATAATTATAAWTTCTTTACCTTAAAAGTAGGACGCCATCCAATCGGCTTAACTAACGATGCATGAAATGTACTGAAGTTTATCAATGCATAAACACTAAGAAATATATTTGATATTGAAGGTAATATTACATTCAAGTTGCCTATAAGTACCAAATTCATTGTTATTTACAATAATGGAATACAAAATTGTATAATTTACAGTACCAGGAAGTATAAACAGCAAAACAATTATTGTAGTCAAAATATCAGCTCTTATGGGCTCTCCCGATTCATTACTAAATCCAAACCATGAAAGATTATTGTAAAGTCTATCATTGCATAACATTTGAAATACTTTTGGAGCAGCTAAAAATGAAGAAAATGAGGCTGTTAATGTTGAGGCCAAGATACATGCGTATACTAATGGGCTAAAAAATGCTATAAGTCCAATAGTCCGATCGACTGCCTAAAAATTGTTATTAAAATAAAATAAACAATACATTTTTTWAAAATATTTTACTTTTATATAGGCCTTAAAACTTACATAGTGTTTATTATAATCATCAAAATTAGATTTATAAAGTGGATCTTGATCTTTAAATGTTGACCCAACCAAAATTGCTATACTAATGTAAATGGAAGAAGAAATAAAAATAGATGTTAAGGAACCTCTTGGTATTGCTCTTAATGAATCCTAGTTAACAAACAAAAATCATAAAATTAGTATAAAGATTTATTTTTACTATAATGATTTAAATTTTATACTCATACTCTGCCTCAAAAATGATTACACATGGTTCATACTATTTAATTCTGTAACTAATTGTGTGGTTATTGAGGCCATATTTATGATATAACTACATCAAAAAACTACACCATTGGTTTTTTATACCAAAATTGAAAATATATAGTAAAATAAAAGCTCCAAAAGACTTATATGTTATAAGAAGATACTAAATTATAAACACAATAATATTATATTAGTTTTATAAGTGCATTTAATCTTGTATAGGTTAAATATTAATTGTGCAACTTATTTACCAAAATATTATAATGATAAAATAATGATTGATTGAATATTCTAATACAGTTCTTTTGTCTAAGGTTCTACACWTAGATTTTTAGTGAAAAGCATTTTTTCTGAGATATATCAAGATATATGCAAATATTCAGTCATTTTATATTCAAATAAAATATGTTGTACATATTATTTTATAAAAGATTTAAATTACCTTTAATTCGCCTGATTTATTTGTTCCCGCTAGAAATCCAGATACTGCTGGAAAAAAAATACTAAATCCATACCAAAAACTTTTACACCAATCATCAAAAGTTTCAAAATTCTTAAACATGTTATAATTAATTGCATCCCCTAAAAATTAATAGTATGTTTTTAGTTATGAGGTATTAAAACTATACTAGATTTATATTATTCATTTTTCTTACAACTAAAACCGATGAAACCTGCATTTTTTTCTGAATTGCTCTTTGGACCATAAATAGCTCCCATAAATACATCTAAAATTGCCGCAATTATAAGAATTAGCACTAATGCATGCACCTAAATTAAAACAAAAACCAAAAAAATTTAAATCAACAATACATMTTTTAAATAAAAATATATTTATTACCTGAATGCGTGACCGGATACCACCTAATGTTGCACATAACAAACCAGCTGTTAAACAGCCTCCAAGAATTCTCATATCTTGTATGTCACCGTCAATTATAGATAAATTAAACGATTTCATAAGAATTTGTACCATTTCACAAAATCCAACCATATGCATTGCACATGCGGCAGATAATGCTATAGAATATATTACACCAATACAAGCACCAAATTCTGGCCCAAGAGAACGAGATATCATAAAATAAGTTCCGCCTTCCTTCAATACACCGTTTGTACTGATTGCTGACATAGATAAGGCTGTTATAGTTGTGATAGCACCACCAAATAATATTATAACAATTCCTGAAACTGATTTTTTTAAATTTAATTTAGATTCAAGTAATGTAATAAAATAAAGTTAAATTACTTAAACCAGTAGTACAAACAACCCATGCTACTCTTAAAAATAACATCAGACCCCATATTTGTACTAGATTACGGATAAGAACACCTTGAATCCATCCTTCTTCATGTTTCTTCTTTGTTGGTCTACTTGGTTCGTTTTCTTGAGCTTCCATATTCTAAGAAAATTATTAAATAGATTATAAAATGAAAAGTAATTTTGATTAAGAACATATATATATTTACTTTTTCAGCCAAATCACAATTATGCAATTCATCTAGAGTAGGTCTGCACGCAACATGCACTGACATAATATTTCTGTAATTATCCAATCTTGGTAATGCTTCGCGAGTCAATTGCCGAAAACTTTTATACTTGTTATCTTCTGATGAAGCACTGTCTAATCGCGTCCTTTGAGTTTCACAATCCACCAAATTTACTTGAAACCTAGTGCGTTTCGTATCTGAAACGACACTTTTCAACTCAACATCATTTGATTCAGAGTCCATTTTTGTCTAAAAAAAATTACACTTATTAATATTAAAATCAAAAATTAACTCATATCAGGGCCTGGCAAGGTGGGCGCAAAATATCGAGTAGGAATGGGGGCACAAAATTTGATATCATTACATTTTTTATTTTAAAGTCTAAATTAAAATATTTTAATATATTATTATTTGTAATTAGATGCAGGTTGATTGATATTGTATTATACAAATACATTTAACACTTAAATTGTTATAATTAAACCTCAAATTTACTACTGAAATTAATTTCCATTCACAACRATCGATTATAACTGGTACCAAATGATGAAATGACATTGTAAAGTAATATATTTTATTTATAACAAATAACAATGAACCTATATATTTCTACACATATTACAAACCACAGGAAATATCAATGTATTTCCTGTGACCAAGATTAATAAAAATAGAATGATTGTGATGTGTAATATAATATATTAAATGGTAAATATKGTTCCTTAGGCGAGCTCAATTCACTACTTATGACAAGATTTTATATGATAATAATATTATTTTTATATTATGATTATTCGGTAAGTTAACAATTGAGTCTGTCGTCTGAAAGTACCTACTTTCTTTTAAAATTTGTCATTAAAGTCAAATCAAAGTAGGTAATACAAATCAATAAATTTTGATATTTTTATCTTTATTATAAATTTGAAATATTCTTAAAATGTTGTTTTTTTATTATTAATTTATTTAATTAACTTAAGCCTCAAAGTAAACATTGATTATGATTATAAGTACGTAAATAAGTTTAATTTTTTTTTTGTGGAAGCGCAAATTTTATTTTGCCAGGAGCTTCGTTATTGATCAGCGCGACACAGACTCATAAGAGTTTATATGTACTTTATGTTCAATGTTCATAGTTAGATAAAGTATATATATACTTATATAAGTAGATAAATACAAAGTTAAATAACTAAAATAGGTACCTTTTACATTTTTCAACTACTCATTTGCCTCAGACTTAAACTAAATGAGTAAGAAATGACATAAAATATAACTAATATCATATTACCTACCTGTTCATTTTTTTTCAAATTATATTTATTCATCATTGGCAAAATATTTACAACTTGTACCAGTTGAATTATAACAAACAATTAATTAAATCTACACTTATTAGTATGCCTACTGCAATATGCAGCCAAAGGAAATAATTCAACCAATTAAATATTGCTAAATCAATTTATTTCAATAGGTAGGTAGTTAATAAAAAAAAATGGTCATTAATCATTATTACGGGTATTCTTTCCTGGGTAAATTAATTAAGTCAATACATCACGCACTAAAATTGATTATCCCTAGATGCGTAAAAAACAAAAGTTATGCAGAATTCTATAAAATTAATCTAGTCAAAAACTAATAGAATACCTTTAGAAAAATTAATTAGAGGGCTATAATAAGCTTAGACTGTAAATAGTATTAAAAACAGCAATGAGACAATTTGTAAAAATTTTAATGGTAATTATGATTTGATGTCATTCTCTTCCTCTTAATGCACAATATTGTTTATATATTATAATACAGCACCATATAAATGCTACCAAGTGGATATGACAAGGCATGYAACTTAGAGAAGCATGAATGCTAACAGTTATAACTGGAAAGAAAGAAACAATTTACTTGATTGTYAAGCGTATCCATTAGCCAAATTTAAGGAGCAATTTCTTCAGGGTAGAATGCGTCGTCAACTCCCCACGGTGTTAAACAATGAGGCGAGCTTAACAACGTCGCAACATCGCCTCACTCGAAATGGTGCACGTGCAACGASGACGAATGACTGGGTCGGGAAATTCGGAGTAGCGGGCGCACGCGGGCTCGAGCTACCTATGTACACGGGCGGCGTAACAGGCACATATTATTTCTGTTGTTCATGAATGAAAACAAATATGAAACCGTCGAAATGGCGACAGACGCGACTCGCACTTCACAACAGACCGGCGTTCGGATGACGAGGCTGACAATAAAAAATAACAAAAAATCGAAACGAAACAATAGTAATGGTAATTAATAGGCATCTATTCGTTGTTAATTATATTTCTTCGTCGTTGATACCTGTAGGTATGTAAACGTAAAGTTTTTCGCCCGAAAAACGAAAGTCCCGACCCCGACGACGGTCGTCGTAGTTTCGTCGTTATCACTGCTTGGTATGCAAACGATGTGTAGGTTAGAACGCGATACCGATAAGCGGATATACAAGCATGGAAGAAATTTACCCGCCATTAATTTCAAATACCTCGTCCTCGCTTTTGGCGATAACAAACCTGACACGTAATGTGATAACGCGCGCTATTTCATGTTTTCATTCTACTTGGACGACGGGATTTCGAATATATTTCCAGTAATTAATARTTACTGATTTCCGCGTCGGCGTAGCATTATCCGGCTACTCCGTCGGGTGACGTACGACAGACATGGGATTTTCATTGTGGACTTTGCTTGAGGCTTCACTATTGTGTTTGAACGCCATATGCATCCTGAACGAAGACAGGGTTYTGGCCAAGTGTAAGTACTTCATACCCACCAGGTCTACTAGTTAGTAGTTGTCGACAAATGTAATTAGTTATCTACACTGTATGGTCATTGTTTTAGATGGCTGGTCCACGGTGAACCGAGAGTTTGATGACATGCCAACCACRAAAACACAGATATTGTCGCTCATGAAGTCTATCCGTACAGTTGTCAAATGTAAGTACTGATGGCTTCAATCAAGCCAAACGTTTAGTTTTTAATCTAAATTTAAGTAAATAAAACACATTGAATTCTTCAATTCATTATGATTTTAAACATTTGTTCAACACCATTATTMATTTTTAGTAGATAGCTTCATAAAAATACATTATCTATAATTGGGTCCAAGATAATACACCTCAAGTGGTTCTTGACATTTAATCTTCTACTTACTGTAATTCACACTACTAATGTCAGCGGTCTATGATTCTATTGTCATTCTGGTCATACATAATATTCTTGTATATACTTATAAATTCTTATTGTTATTTATTTTYATTGTATTATTACTAATAACTATAAAAAAAACTTATGTATGAAAAATTTGGAAAATTGATCTATTGCTATTTAATTTTTATCTCRTAAATTCGGTAGTTTATGGTTTCAGGAATCATTATTATAGGGTTCCACATCCACATACTACAAAAAGTTAAAAACCGCTATAATACACTGTTCCACCTAATTCCTGCTATAAAATTTATATTTTTAGTATTACTGAACTATTTATAGTATTAATTTCAAAATTATACCTAATTTTACATTGCATTTATAAAGTTAAAGGTTCAATAACTTCTACATACTTAAGTACCTGCCCCAAATACTAATTTTGATGGTTCAGAATAATTTAATTCTRTGTAGGTAGTARTTCTTCAAATAATTGTGCTCCATCTCTCAAACTGTWATGTCTGGTGATATTTATTAAATTCTATRAATTCTTGTATTTTTAGAAATGTATTTTATACTTATTAATACTATAATTCTATAATTTGTATCAAATTMATTTTGACATGGGAATTTAGTTTTAAATATTTTACTTCACAAAGCTTGTATTTGTTAACATTTTTTTACTTGCATTATTTTTTATCATGTATCAATYAATTTTRTATTGATCATTTCTTGTATAAGATTCTTATTCTAATATATATATATATCTGTAAACAAGGTTGACTATATTATAKAACTAATATTTAAATTTTATCATTTAAAAATTCTGGGGCATAAAGAACAATTTGTAAAATTCCTGTCTCATTTATTTAATGTTTGTCTAAAAGTATAAATAGAATTTGAGACTTAAGTCCTAGAAAATTATTCTATGGACTACATTTTAATTTAAAAATAATAATTAGTTTTTTTCTAGAATGATCATACTATACAAAAAGAATTTTCTTTAATTGTTAATTGGTCAGTGATATCACATTTTAAGCAACAACTACCTATTGATTATAACATACAAAATAAAATAAACTTCATGTGTTAATGCTTAAATTTAAAGTCYAAAATAGATCTAGACACCAGATTTACAACAAAAGAATACAGATAATGTTCTTACTTTTATGATTAATAATATGTAGTTAATTCACTAATATTTAAGAAGATAAGAAAAAAATTGTATATTTAAACTCTTCCCCTCTCTGTACACTACATCACGACAAATCGATATACGATTTTGATCACATCCTTTTCAATTGCCCTTCTCTCATAACTAGTAGACAACTCCTTTTCTCTTTTCTTTCTTCTTTTGGCTATATTTCTCCGGATTCTAACCTTCTGAACTCCCGTTTCATCCCTATCATCCGTTCTCTTATCCAATTCATTCATACCACTGGCTTTCTCATTTAATGCTAATATTTAATTAATATTGTCTGTAAATGTTTTATATTTATGTCTGTTTTTTGTTTTGATACATCATAATATTGTAATCGCTTTGCTATAATTATTAACTAATAAAAATCAAATTAAAAAAAAAAAAAAAAAATTTTTTAACATTTATAACTATTGGACCTACATTTTTGTATATTGTGTGTTAGTGTTAGTAAGATGGTGGCAAAACTTCATGTGGGTACGACGTCCTTCTTAAGGCGTTGTCTATAGGCAATCCATAATTTATTAGAGATGAATGATTTACAATTTTGACTAGAGTGCACAATAAGTAAAAAGTTTAGATGAACAATGAGAAAGACTGTGAGAGACTTAAGGCGCTTCACTTTAGAAAGTCTAAACTTGAGTGTAGGCAATCTATAGTTATGTATTTATACTTGGCTACCTATAACCTACTACTATATCATGGGCGTATTTAAGAAGGACACATTAGGCCCCTGCTCCCTCCACCAACATTCGACGTATTTTATACTTTTTTATTATTTAGAGTATTGACCTCTCTTACTAATTAAATGTTATGTTTCTACATATATTTTGGTTATTTGGTTTGGAAATATCCGAATATGACATTATTTTGAGATGAAAAATTTAACCATGTGCCTATAAAAAAAAATAAGAATGATGTTTGTTTTAATTTCTTTATTTTTATTTTTATATACTCGTTGTTATAAAAAAATTAATTCAAATACAATAATTATTAATCTTCCTGTAAAAACATTGTAATTACATTTACCCAATTATTTAGAATTACTCCACTTCATCCAATAGTCCATAATTAAACTTTATTTTAATTTAATACMTACTTATTAACTACTATCCTAATATTATTGTATAATATCAAAATGTATTTTATTAGGTATATATAACAGTTTTTAATTAATACCATACTTTTCTGCTGGTACATATACGATATACGTAATTAGGTACCTTCATTAAAAGTATGATTTTACATAATGTAGCTCCGATTGTAGACGTTTATCTCCATAATAAAATATAAATCAAAAACAAGAATCTAATTCATGTTATTATAGCCTTCATACCTAATGTAATATTGTAATTTGACGAAAGAAGTGTTTCAAATTGGGTCATCGTAAACTTATGTGAATTAACATGTACTCGTATACATACATATACTATATATATTATATATATTGTTGAGAATAGGTAGAGTACAATTCTATGAGCATATTATACTCCTTAGGTCATAGATGCGTTGTAGTAGACGTAATAACTATGTGTTATATAATGCAAATGGTTAATATTTCCGTGACTATTTCCACAGTTTTAAATTTAAAAATAAATTACTTTCATTTCGTTGTACAGTTTCTTGCAAGTGCATAAGCTAGTCGAAACACTATGTGTAGTTATGTATAATGTACTCGTATATTGTATAGGGCGTGTCCAATGTTATTGACAAAATCGCCTTAAATAAATTATAATTTTTAATATCTTATTTATGTGTATATTTAAAATTGTATTTCAGATCCTCTTATAATTTTCAATCTGCTGATCATACTTGTCAAGAGTCTTACAGGATGATGAAAATTCCACTTGTTTGCAATGAAATAATGTTGTATATTTTGTGTAACTTGTTATTTCTATAAGGTTAATATTCTAAAAATTACCCTTATTTATATTTATATGTGTAAATGTTTTTACAATGTGCGTATCWAAAGTGTTTATCATCTTTTCTTAAATAAATTACTTTGCTTAAAACAAAAAAAATGTATATATATTTATCTTGTTTTTATTTGATTTGTTTTCCTATTCAATACCTTGAACACTTTACCGTAGTAGAACTTSCCACTCCGTAACTCGCGCGCCTTTATCCGAGTCCTAATTAGTAATTTTTATTGTCCTATACCTAATTTATTATCATTGGGCCGGATCGGTAAAAAAAAAAACAAATCTATAAATAATTAGGTAAATACCTAGCATCCGTCTCGTAACTGTACACGCGCGATTCTTGTTTCGCAACACACATTACTTAGCCGCGGTAGTACATATATATAATATATACATTGGAAACACCTATAACTATCTACGCATATATATATATATGTATGTTTATAAGCTATAATTGTAATTATTATGCACGTGTTCGCGTTGAACAGATTGGTTATTAACGATTAGAAACGCTGCTAAAACCACTCCGGTGCGTGGTGTAGCAACAATTCGCACTGCCGGTGAATACCCATACGCGCGGTTACCGGTATATGTAGGTATGCTGTGCTTAAGTCTGTGCTCCTACTGCCTACCCGTACGTCATAGTCGTGCCATTATAGATACCGCGGCTATACAATATTATAGGTACCTATATTGTGTACAGCCGCCTAATTTAATTTGTAATTTAAAAAATCCGCCTTCGACGTGAATAATATAATAATATAATATAGTTGTGACAACTGAGTATAGGTACCTATACAACACGCTACATAGTCAATGTGGTAGGTACTTATACATATTATAAATATATAGCACGAGTGCGCGCATATATCAGCTACCRCGAATACCACGTGATTGTTGTGCTTACCTATTATTTACAATATGTATTCACGATAAAAACGTCGCCTGTATTTCTCAATTTTTCGTCTTGTTTTTGGCCGAGTCCCCAGCTATAGGAAACCTTGGCCGCGCGTTTGCAACAAACAACAAAACTATAATAATAATCGACTCTATACACATTCGTGGTATAAACATGTACCAACTACCAACTAACAATATAATAATTGGCTATCCGATGCAAGACGCAAGTACCTACGTGGTGGCAACTGCAGCGGTGATAGGGACACTTCAGTGGGTCTTTATTGTTGTGCAATATTTAGAGTATTGTAATGTGTAACCTGATTTAGAGCGAACAACGAAGTTTTCATCCTTTTATCACGATTTTTTTTTTTAAGACCTAAAATTAATAATTTTTTTAAATTACCTACATTTTCAATGCAAAAATGCGTAGAATTTTAACCTGTACAATTTACATGTACTATGTTGTTTTACTCAATTAAATGGTGTAGTATAATAATATAAATATTTTAGTATACGTGTATCTGAATCATACACGACGCACGTCATACGAAAACGACCTCCGATTTTAAGCACAAACTTATTTGATAAATTACAATTTTTACACCAATTGCCTCAACATCGTGTAGAACGAGATACAGTGGTGTACTATTAATGTTGAACGCTATASGTACATTAGGCGCCCTTTATGCCATATATTTATTATATCATGTAATCAATGTCATTAAAACAAACGCTGTAAACAGTGAAAACGTATATGATGTCAAAAGTTATCGGAATAAGAGATTGAAAAAAATATATCCAAAACCAAATTCGGTTAAAACGGATTACCAGAGGTTTTTYTTTGCATATATACTCGTATTCCTTGTGTTAGTACAATAATAGGCAACCATATACCTACAACCAATACATGCGACAACAATATATTTTAGCCTTATACAGTTATACTTATACCAGCTATAATTATACAACTTATGAAATTATTCTTGATTCGATGTATATATATTGTATTATACCTTACTGCTGCATCATTTGCCTAATCACATACTCAATCACTGTATACATGCGATAAATTAGACCCATTTAATCAAATCGGGTACTTGCAAAAACCAATAACTCAGCTCACAGAAMAATGATGTGTATTTTTACCAAGCGCAGAAGCGTATGAGGTAATGGGTTGGGTTGTTGAAAAACACATCGTGAAATGCGCTTGAGCCGTATTTCGCACAATCTATCCATTTCTGTCACTCTGTCTCTAGTGTCTCTCTCTGTACATATAATTATAATCGTAGTATATTATGTATTTATGTACGTGAAAATAGTAAGAAATAAAAAGAATAATAAAAAAACAGAATATTTTATAAAAAATTGCATTTTTATCTCTTATCTTTTGGCCGTATTGTTTTTATACATAAAAAAATGATCAGATAATATTACATTTAGCTATAATAGTATACTCACTATTGCAATATTATATCATAATACAGTGTAAGTATCTAAATATGCGATATGGCTTAACTTTCGACTACASTCGTATAACAATAGATAAAAAATAAAAACATATATATATAACAAAATATAAAAAAAAATACAGTTCAGAAAAAAATACGAAAATAATATTTTACGTGCTCTTTCGCGTCGCCGTGTCGATGTCGATGGTATAGTAATAATAATAATATATACATAAACTTTGTCGTAAGCGTGCACTCTATATTATATTAAATTATAATATATATTATGTCATTCACACAACGATGCGTTATATTATTATATTACGTACAATATATATTTATATATATATATCGTTCACTCGCGTTTTTTTATTATTATTATTTGATTTACGAAATGGGAAAAAAAGGAATGCAGATCGCGAGTGCATAGCAATAATAATAATATAACACATTAAAAGCTGCTGTGGTGCACGGTCTGTCACGGCGGCGTCGAAAGAGCGGAGGATGGTATGATGTGTACGATGATGGATATTTATGCGGTTTGTGGTGTTTTTCGTGCGAGATGGTGTCGACGGGCCGAGCTGCGCACCGACAGCTATTAGTAAGAGGACGACGGTGCTCCGTAGGAAGACGACGGCCTGGATGGAGCTCCGTAAGAGGAAGATGGGCCGGACGAGTAACCGCCACCGGACGAGTATCCGCCGCCGGACGAGTATCCGCCGGACTGTTGGWATTGGGCCACTTGGATGGCTGGTTTCACCTGTTCCAGTTCGACGCCGACAACACGGCTCGAGTATGACTGCGACGGGACTCCGTAGGACGATGATGGGGCTCCGTAGGACGAGGACGGGGCTCCGTAGGATGATGACGGTGCGCCGTAAGATGAGGACGGGGCGCCGTAGGACGAAGACGGGTATCCGCCGGAAGAGGATCCGGAGTTCTGGGCTTCGTCTCTGAGTACGATTTGTTTGATCTGTTCGAGCAATTGTCCGTCAACGTACTGTCCTTCGTATGTGGACGGTCCCGGGGCTACTGGGACGTAGCTACCGCCGGACGAGTATCCGCTGCCGCCTGAAGAGTAGCCGCTGCCGCCGGATGAGTAACCGCTGCCRCCGGAAGAGTAACCGCTGCCGCCGGAAGAGTAACCGCCGAAACCGCCGGACGAGTGTCCACCACCGAAACCGCCGGATGAGTAACCGCCGGACGAGAAACCACCGGACGAGTGTCCACCGCCGAATGATGGTCGGCTGTAACTGCTTGGTGGCTCAGCGGAGACAATAGCTACCGTGGCGACGACGAGACACTGCAATACCACCATAAAAAGTGCAAGTATTAAATACGATATCGAATACAAGAAAAAAAAACAGTATTATATGATATATAGTTTATTTTCTTCGTTTGAAGGTTAAGTTTGTATCGAGTTAAAATCGTAAAATCTTTAATAAATCGTACGTGCTAAACTTATATAATATTCATATTAGTTTCGGTTGATTTCAAAGAAATGACTTATCTTTTTAGAATAATTGTATTTTCACTTGAACGCGTTTTAAATTTTTCAATTCTTCGCAATGACGAAAACATTTTTAATTTAAAATGACGAAAATAAAACAATAAACTCCATTTTTTTAGTTTGTGCACCAAAAAATATTCAAGCTACAATTTATTTTTTTTTTGTGACAGATCGATAAGTAGTATAATGTGTTTTTAGACCATCATACACATTGTTGCTATTTATAGAAATCACTTTAGTATTACGACTTTCGATCTTTACCATTGCCTGCCTTATCTTGAGATAGAAGTTCGACTGGAGAAGCAAAATCATATAATATATACGACGACAACAATTTATACGCTGGCAACGATTTACGTCTTAAGCAGCGTGCACATATACGATGAGTATAGAAAAGCGTACTATATAGAACAGTTTGAAAATCATACAGTGAAAGCTTTATATACACAATGCCGTTTCATATGTACGACATTTAACGCTAGACTATTATGATAATGCATTATATTGTTTTATATAACATCGTGTAGTGCAGTGTGCACATGTGAATAATTTAGTAAATATAAACAAATATTTAATGTAAAATATTATTTAAAAAAAAAATATTTGTTTTTGTCGAAAACGATTTCGTCTGAGAGTTACTGTTATACTGCACTTTTATTTTTAATGTATTACCATATTATTCACTGGTTTTATAAATATTATAGACGATCGATGACCGAAGTACCTACCTACCTATCTACTACAAGGTAGGAACAGGTATAGGTATCGATGGTAAAAAAAAAATGCATATCAATTTAATAATAAACCAACAAAATGTAACTTACCAACACGARAGCGTTCATTTTGAAAATTTGAAAAAATTGACTTGTATTAAAATAAACAGAAAAGAATAACCACTAAATTCACTGACTAGTCACCGAACTTACACTGACTATTGGATGGCTGTATGTAATTGCTCAGCTATTTTATACAACCACCACCCACCTGCAGGACACGGCGCGCGCGCTTGGTAGGGATTGAAAATGAAAGGAACGAATATTAAAAACTTCTTCGCAGATTCCCAGACTAGTAATTACATTATATCCTAATATAAAGTGATTGTAACTGCTTAAATCGTAAGAAAAAATAATAGTGTATATACATATTATAACACTGCAGCCATATGCAAGTTATAGTCCCACGATAATTGTTCGTTTAAAGCGCAGCACTACGTTATATAACTATACATTCCTATAACCTATGCGTATGGGAAACTTAATGGAAATGATTTCAAATAATATCTAAGATTTGTGTGACTAACATTAATTTATTTGACTATCCTAAATAATGTATATTATGTATATGCATATAAATTAAATGTGTTGGGTATACGTCAGTACTATAGTACTACCTATAGGTATTATATTATAGTATTATAAACCATTTTCTCGTCCTTTTGAAATGTTTGTACAACAAGTTGTAATCTTAATTATTGACATTTCTTTGCATATTAGTTATTATACCACACTTGAGGCGAATGACTGATAAAGGTACAACGTACAATCAAATGATTTTTTTCCAATGACAATAATGATAATATTTACATGACATRATATACATATTACAAATATCTATTTCATAATAAGTTAGACTTTGGTATAGCATTTTGAAATATTAAATAAAATAAAATAGCTCAACAGGCATTATGCTCGTTCTTTAATCTCATTACAAGTCAATCAACGCTAAATTTTAATTGTTACTATATATAACCACCCAACAAATCCAATGCTGTTATTAATTATTGGTACACTACGTAAAGACGAGAAGTAAGTTTGATATGTTACGGAGTTACAATTGTAATATACTGACATAGATATAGGTAAATAATTATTAAATATTGTTGAAAGATAAGACATTATATTAAATATATATTCATGAGATTTGTTATTATCTGAWCAAATGTCATTAATCTGCGTAATTTATCTATAAAATATTAATTATAACGTAAAAATGTTTCAAGTTAATTTTTAGTAGTATGCATCGAACTTAATTTTTGTTCAAAGCGCTTTCCATTTTTTTAATTTTTTCACAAAGAAAGTGAACCMAACATATTAAGTAAATACCTATTGTCATATTGAATGACACTTTGAAATTAGGTATCCGGGGAGATTTTTTAATTAAATATTAACGGAATAAATAAACGATTGTAATAATTAAAAACAATGAAGAAAAAATATAATACCAAAAACAAGACTTATACAGCTTTATGATTTTTTAAATGTAAAATATTTGTATTGTATAATATATAGTGTAGAATATAAATTTGTTAAAAAAGTACATAAATATCATAAATTATATAATTCACTGAACAATAGGCGTAAAAATATATTTGTATATTTCCGTTAATTATAATTTTTATTTTCATTTTAACACTATTGTGACATAACTATATGTTGTTATTATGGTTATATCTAATTAACAATGATAATTATTCAAAAAATATTTTTAATTAATATTATTAATATAAGTGGTTTTTTATATCATAAATGTATTCATTACAATTACTGGACATTTTAATTAGTATATCGTATATAAAGTTAAATATCGTATACATGTATTATACACTTAATACATCCGCCTATAAAGACTTATTTAATATGCATTTAGGTATCTTATCAAAATTTAAATAAAGTATAAATATTTGGAAAATACATTATTTGCAACATGCTCCAATGCATTTCGTTAGATACATACATATATTGCACAAGAAAATATGWATTTAATATCGAATGGAGTTAKAACCGATTTTTAATCTATCTATAAACACAYAGTTATATAGCTTTTCTTCAAACCATTAATTAAACACAGGAAGTAGGTGCCTTATATAGTTATATCTATAATAAGTAACACAGAAAAGTTGAATTATGGCAAGTAATAATTTCATTTTAGTTGTAAGCATCTAAAGCAGTAAGGTAAAGTATTTAAATATAAGTAATTAAACCAAATCTGTTGAATAAAAATAAATAAGTTTAATAACAAATATTTAAAAAAGTTAATCTATTAAATTTAATTTCTGGCGGCTCAAATCATATGATTTCGATGTAAAAATAAATAGCTGAAGGCAATATTYATATACAATATAATATTTTTAATATTTTCGATTGGAATTATTACTAAAATAATGAATAAGTACAATTATAACACAATAACAATATCTGCGTTATAATAAAAAYATGTTATAATCCTTAAATTATAAATTAGTCATATTTTAAGATATTATAGGATATTATATAATATTATTTATAGGCATACCTTTTTCTCAGAAAAACAATTCTCAGATACATTATCTTACATTAATTCGAATGATTAAAATATATTTTAAATTACGTAGGTATAAACTTAAGGTCACATATCACCCATCAACATTTGATCTCCGTAGTATAATTTATATATAGAAAGAGAGGTAGATATTATATAGAAAGTGCCGAGTCCATGTTTACGTTTTCGTCATGCAAGATGCAACTATTAATAAAAAGTCGTTTACATCTTTTTTTTTATAAAACAATGTTTTTAAATGGAGGTACGAATAGGTAATGGGTTTTCACGTTATATTCAGGCTTAGAAGATAATATTTGTTATAATAATAATTATTTATTCTATAATATGGGYACTTTAACATGATATTTTTGTTGTCCACTTTAACTTGCAGGTAGGTAAGATACCCGGAAATGAGATAAGCTATACTTACTGGCTACTTACCTAAAACTTATAAGTCTTTGATCGGYATAAAACGTACCCATAATTTCATAACCATTAATTACGTATCGTCTACTGCATGTAGTATAAATGTACAACAGGCGTATCGACATATTATTATACATAATTGTATTTTTGACTGCAAGGTTTATCAATATTTAATGGTTCGAAAAAATAACCATTTCACAATTACATATATGCGTAGGACGTCGTGGAAAATGATGCAATTCCAACGAAAAATTAGTTATTTCCGATGCGTTACAGATACGATTYTAGTCAWCACCATGATACAAAGCTCTATGTGCGCCCAATATCATCATCTATTCCATATTTTCTATATAGCCTACTCTGCTGGATAAAATCTTCATTCAAGACAATTAGRGAGAAGCTCTAAGTCCACAGCCAATCAACATAGAAAAGTTAGTTAATTATTTAAAATTAACTTAACTATACCAAATAATATATATATAATCAAGATATACAGGGTGTCGCACAGAGATCTGACATTTTGACAAATGAAATAACTTTTGTTCTAATCAATATTTTTAAAAAATTTCTTTTAAATATAATTCATA